TTTTTTCAAGTCACCGGGGACGGCAACAAAGAAGAAGCAGCATAGCTTTTGCCCCAAAGGACCGTAAGAAATGTGGTTTCGTCGCGAGCTGCGCAGCAGCGGCAGCCGTAGCGGCAGCAGTAGCGGCAGCAGCAGCAGCAGTAGTGAAAGTTTTACTCTCGTGCGAAAAATAAGTAAATCACGAGACAGAGTATATACGTATATATATTTACGCGGGGTTGTGGGGGAGTGGGGGGCAAGAGCCTGCAATTTTTTTCTCGTGCACAAAACGTTGCTCGCTCACTACCACACTATGTTTATACGCACGTGTACGTATATAGCTTACTGCTTTCTTCCACTTCTTCTTTTTCGCCTAGCTTGGCGCTCCAGGCGTTTCGTTTTTCTTTCTCTTTCTCTTCTTCTCCTACTCTCTTTTTTCCCTTCATTTTGGTGTACAAGCCTGTGCTACTGCTGGTGGCGCTACCACCACCGACGCTGCTGCTGCCTGATGCGTTTTTACGGCTCTCGCGCAGGAGATAAAAAGTTAGCGGTGAGAGCATATAATGAGCTTGCGCTCTTGCGACGTTGAATATATAAAGCAAAGAAAATTTCAAATGTGCTTTGGGCTTCAAAATGAGGTTAAGAGAGACAGTGAGAGAGAGAGGAAGAGGGGGAAGGGGTAAGAGGGAGAGAGAGACGCGTCGTTTTCTTCCGTGAAAAGTGACGATGAGAGATTTAATGATGAGCATACTTATTGTTATCATTATATCACTGAGTGTTTAAATGACGCCAAGCACATTTGCGCGCGTACGCGACTGTGATCATCGGGTGTGAAAGGAGATTAAAATTAAACATAAGCACATGAGAGCACGTTGTTGCGCGCTGGCAACGTTGAAATTTAATGCCTCGAAGCGGTATTAGGCCATCGATGTTAAAATCATTTCCTCCTTTGATTGCTGTTATTATTATTACTTCGCAAACTCCTAGGTGCAATTACGCATAATGCTCATTCGCCGACTAGAGATGGGAGCTAGGAGGGGTATATCGTAAAGTCGCGAGAGCTTTAATATACATATACACGCACGTATATATACAGAGCATGGCGCGTGTGTAACAAATTTCACCAAACCAAGGAGGAGGCTGAGTATCAAAAGGAAAACTTTCAAATGGATCCTTGAATATATAACAGGGACTATATACGAGCGAGCGAGCGTATCGAGTATTCCTTCGTCACCGGTTATAAGAGCACAAATATAACCGAGCGTCTCCTCGGTAGCAGCGGCGGCAGCAGCAAGCTCTTGAGAAAACGCTATGCGCATGACACTTTATATACACGTATATAGTATAAGCTCACTTGGCGGAATTTCCCAAGTTTCTCAAGTGCAACATCGAAATATTCACGCTCGGTTGAGGCCCGCTTCCCGGCTTGCCACTGGATAAAGAGATACACGCAGAGACTTGGGACAATGGCAAAAACATCGTTGCAAATCCTCACGCGTGCGTAAATGCGTTGTTATTTTATATGTACGGAAAATCGGGTCCGATTACGTAATTACGACTTGGCTTGTAATTTAAAAGCTTCGAAGAGAAAAGTATCGATTTTCATGCAAACTCATTGAAATCGAAACGACCTTAAAAGCAGTGGCAGTAGCAGAAGCAGCATTGGCAAGGCAAAAATATAGATCAAGCACCAGCAGCTCTCGCTCTACTTAAAGCTCTCTCAGCTACTCTAGCGGCACACGTGGGTGTTGCAGACCACTACTTACCGCGCGCGTATACGCTTTTACGTATTTATGCACACATGTGTGTGTGCGCGTGTGAGTATGTGCATACATGTATACAAATATCGTACCCTTACGTTACCCTCTTGGGCGCTCTCTATTGCGGCTGCGAGAAAGTGTGTGAGGGTGAGGGAGAGAATTTACGCAGGCACTAATTAACGGACTCGAGACTGTACCATGTATAAAAAGTTATTCTCGTGAGCTCAATAAAACACGAAGATTATTTCTCTTACGAGTTTCGCAGCAGCAGCAGCAGCAGCAGCAGCGGCCCTGCAGTGCTGCTGCAATTGTTTTTTATAATGGCCTACGCCCTACATAAAGACAAGGTGGAAAGTCTGCTAGCTGCACCGTAGTACGTAGTTGAAATAAATGTTTCAAAGTATTAAACGAGCTTGTTAAAAATTTACGTTTATAATTTTTTCCTTATATTTGCACTTTACTGAAATCTTAGCTCGAGTTTAATTCTTCGATTCGCGCTCGGCCCGACGCTCTCTCTCTTCGCGCAGTTTTTATTTGAGAAGATGCTGCTGATGCTGCCACGGCAAAGTGGCTTCTCGACGTCATGGGGGCAAATAAAATAAAAACAAAAATAAATACCTAGGAGAAACAAAATGCGCGAGGAAAAAAAGGAAGAAGAAGCAAATGATAATAGACCTTTCAGAGGGTAAGCAGGAGGGTAGTATACACACATCGTGTGTATAGCATGAGAGTGAAAAAGGTTAAACGCACGAAGATGCGGTAAGTGGTTAGACAGAAGCAAAAGCTGCGCATAGGCAGACAGGTGTATGTGTGTGTGGAAGGGAGGCCGCCACTGTCGTCGCCGTCGCCGCGGAACAAATAGGTCAAGAAGATAGAAAACGTTTAAAAGAGTGCGAGGGCAAAAAAAAGAATGAGGCAGTGGCTGCCGCTACTGCTGCTGCTGGTGCTGCTACTACTGCGACGAAAGGTCATACTTTCAGGGAGGCAAAAGAGACTACAGAAAAAAAAGAACTCGAGAGTAATGGGCGCGAAGGCAAAAATCGTTAGAACAGTTTTAAAGCGCTTCAAGAGTTCGTAAAATGATAATTAGTGTCGCGCTCTGTCGTGAAAAACAACCGATTACTAATTATGTTATTAATCAAAGATGAAATTAGACACACTTCTATGCATAATGACAAGTAAATTAGAACTCGGTGCGAGACCAAAGGATAGAAATGCGCTAAAAAGGCGATAAAATGAAAAAGAAAAGTCGTAAAATCTAGATTAAAGTCTCCCTAGCAGCGCGCGCCTTATTCAGAGGCGGAAAAGTGGTCGGCATAAATCACACTCCGCCGTACATACGCTCCCGGTAATGCTAGTAGTAGTCGCAGCGCAGCGGTGGTAGTAGTGTAAATTCGATAAGAATTAGATGATTGCGAGCGAGAGATGTTGTACGTGTGTCTGTATAAGTGAGCACTACTGTAGAAACAGCAGCAGCAGCAAGCAGCAGTGGCAGTCGGAAAGCAGTTGAAAACCAAAAAGAGAAGGAAAAGAAGGAAGAAAAAAAAACGAAGTACGCGGTTGACTGCGAGAAAGAGAGTAGGCGGAAGGAGAAAATACGAGAACCGGACGAGCCACTGAAAGCGTTTCTCGGGCAAGGGGCGAATCTGTTCGTAAATTTTCAGACGTTACCAGTTTTAGTCGTAGAGTTAGAGCGAGAGAGAGAGAGACAGAGAGCGGCAGCTCCTAGCCGACATATTCGTATCCGGGGCTACTTCCGTTTTTCTTTGTGTTGCATCGCTATCTACTTCCCCGCGCGCGCGATGCCTTTTAACTCGAGCTCCACTTTATTCTTTGAGCGAGAAAGCAGCTCTATAAAAACTCACTCGCCTACACGAGTGTTCGATCTATCCTTCCTTTCTCTTTTTTCGAGTCCTTCTTTTTATCATTAAGTCGATATAGCGTGAAAATAATCACGAAAAGTTATTGACTTTCTTACGCGCTCGCGTCGTTTCAAAGTACAAGGAAAGAAAAGGAACGAGAAATTCTCTCTCTCTCTCTCTCTCTCTCTCTCTTCCTTGGTAATACATAGTAAACTCCTTTTGCGGATGTTGGGGAAGATATTTCGTTTCAACGTCTGTTTCGTCGACGGCAACATTCCAAGGGTGCAAAGGAATTGAAAAATCCTTAGCCGCGCGTACTCCTGGAATCCCTCGAAATGTAATACACTTCGTAGCAAGCGCCGTATACTATTCTCTCGTTGGCCAACAAATATGATAAAACTTTCTGCTCCCAAAGCTAAAATACTCTCCTTGTGCATGGCCAGATTTTGCCGACTGCGCCGTGTGTATGTACACAAGTACATACACACGCATATACACATGTGCACGAATGCTTCCTGATGAAATTGTTGAAATTGTGTTTTGCAACTTTTATATACACCAGATTCATTTCGTTTAACCGGGCACAAAATTAGATTCTTCGATGGGACGAGAAAAGAAGAGAGCAAGAAAGAGAAACTAACTAAATTTATATTGAACCACTTCGCGAAAGAAACCGCGTGTGTCCGCTTTTTGTTGCTGCACACTTGACTCAGCTCATTTTCCACATCTTATTGTCTGCTTCGTCTCCTCCCAATTGAAGCGAATTATATTTCTCAAAGACGCGACATCCATGCACTGCATTCACAAATCAGGACGCTCCGATAAATAAATCTATATGAGAAGAAACCAACCCACATTTCCGCATGAATTGCATAAATGTCAATGTGTACACTCTCACGCTGGAGAAATATTCAACATCAATAATGGCTTAAATACAAGAATATTACTTTAAGTCTCAACCACTAGATGGCGGGTACTATTATTCGTAAATCTACATGTGGAAAAGTCAAAATAAGTTTATAAGTCAAAGCACGTTTTTGAAAAAAATTGGTAATGTTTGTACAAACACTCTTTTTTATGTTAAGTCGAAAATTCTCATTAAATAGCAAACAAAACGTAGAACATTACGTTGCCATAAAATGTTTTACAAAACGTTACACTTTTGATTAATACATGTTCAATTCTAATTGTCCTTTAATACCTAAGAGACTTTTTCGGTGGCCAAAAACTATCAACAAAATGTTGAATATTTCTATCAGAGCTGATTTTTAAAACCGAAAAAAATTAAAATTTATGTATAGCGTAATATTACATAAAAAATAGTGCCAGTAGTCAGTAGTTTGGTAGCAAATAACTGGCGCTGTATTGCGTTGGGTTCAGGTAGCGACTACCCGATCAGTATTTCCTGTTGCAGGACCGCCCCAGCTGGCCAGGGCAGTGCTCCAAGGTACGGCCGAACTGCCGTGTGACGTTCGACCGCCCGGACCCAACGACACCTTCATACTCGTCGTGTGGTACAAGCAAGATGTCAATCCCATCTACAGGTGAGTCAAGTCCATTCATTTTTTTATTATTTATATTATTTTAATTAAAAACATAATCGAACCGCACAACCATTAGTATCTAAGTGTTTACACGAACAATAAGCGGCGAAAAAAGTAATTATGTATCTGGGTTTCCAGAACCGTATTTCCCGAAAGAGTTGAGTGATTAGATAAATAAGCGCCCTAGGTAATGCGTTATTATCCCCACTCACACCCATAGACTACTGCGTGTTTCCATGTTCTGCAGAGTATTCCAATGAGCGCGCGAGCGCTTTTGACTGACACTGGTCAGTCAAATCTTGGACTCTGACCAGAGCACATCGTGTAGCCGTTTTACGATTCTCATTAGAGCACACTCAAACGAACCCACTCAACTTATTATTTTCTCACCCTTTCCAATTCTACTTTTGAAGCTTCAAGTCTGAACGCCAGGTGGTGCATCGCCTGAAAAAAGAAGAAGAGAAGTCGCGCGCGGTCTCCACCGCGCTATATAAGGTGGCACGCCGACTCGTGAGCTCTTGCGCTGAGCATATTTCCTGGACTTCCGGAGAAGTGCGGCACTCTTGGGATACCAGACTCACCAAGACCGAAGCGACGTGTTTTCTCCAGGATCATCGAAGATAACACACCTCTCGGACTTCCAGAGATTTTACAACTCCTCAAGTTGTTCAAGGTTGTTGACTGGATAGGGACAGTTCACTTTAATAAAGTTAACTTTGTTTCTCAAATGAAAAATCTTCTTCTTTACTTACCTTTCTTATCTCTCCTACTTCCCGCTTCGGCCGCTAGGTGACCGGGTGAGAACCACACTCACAAGACGACAACAGAAAAGGAGAAGTATCAAAAAATTCACGGAGACTCACAGGGTAGCGCCGGAAGCGAGAAACACACTCACAAGATGTAGCCGACAGAGCAAATTGGGCACTTGCCATCGGCGGCAGAAGCGAGAACCACACTCACAAGACAGCGAGTTCTAAAAGACGTCTAACTCAGGAGGAGATGCCAGCAATGTGTGTCCACGCAGTAGACGGGTCCGAAGAAGGGGATACGACAATCGACGATGGCATCGCGCCGGATCGGAGGTTCACCAAGTAGAAAAAAGATGAGTCCCTGAACCCCTAATCGTCGCATATCACTATGCGACCGATGGGGGATGTATGGAAAAATAACGACTAACAGAAGTAGCAGAAATGCTCAACTAACCCCGGCCTCACCGAAGCAATGCCTAACGGCGGATACCGGTGAGTGTCCGAATGGGGTGAAGTAGAAAAAAAAAACCTCGAAAGCATGTTGAAGAAATGAAAAATCGTACATGGATTTAGAAGAGATCAGTGTAAGATCTCAGCTGTACGTGTGGCCAGGCGCGTAGTTTCGAGTTGGATCTAGTTGTAAAATCTGCAAGTATTACAGGCGTTTGCATAATACGTGCGCGCGCTGGATGTATAAGGAAAGGCGCGTGTCAACAGGTAATAACGACTATGCGAGTACACGACGCACTGCAGCTCGCGCCAGCCAGCCAGCCTAGAACGTCCGACACTGACACTGTATTCTCTTTCTCTCTCACGCTATAGCAATACTACTACTACTGCTGCTGCTGCTGTGTTGCTGACGCCCATGCGAAACGCGCGTAAACTGTCGTGTTTATTGGCGGCTGGAAGGAAGTAGGTTGCTGCCACTACCTCGACCCTTGCGTATATACGTATACATGTGGGTTCAGACTCGCAATAGGCCAAAGCTATACATGACGTGAGAAGCTCCAATCTAGTGTGTATGGGTGAAAGCTGGCTTGAATTTCGTTTTCCAGGCGTGAAATGTGCAGACTGGAGGCCGCTGCCGCGATATAAACTAGGTGCATTATGAAACCGAATTTATTTTCGTTCTATTCATAGGATTTTTCTTCTCAACAAAAAAAAAAAAGAAAAATATATAAATCCCACTAGTTTTGGATTTTGAAAATTGTGTTGCGCTCTCGCCTAGAGATTCGTTCGAGCTATGCCTTTCAGTGCGCATTTTATTATTTATGCAGTCTGCGCGTCGCGCCAAGCTTTAGGGTAAAGAGAGGGATATATGTACACAAATTTTCACCAGCGCTGGCGCGCTACAAATAACAGCCAAGTTCAAACGAGCAACAAGCGCGGTGGTGGCGCAGCGCATTTTTCCATTCAGAAAATTTCTCCAAATTTTCGCAATTAGTTTCGTTATCCCAAAATTTATCATCAACGTCACTCGAGCTCTCCTCTCTCTCTCTCTCTCTCTCTCGCTTTGTGCGCGCTCGCGCGAGCTCGCGTATACGCGGGCGGCGTTTGCGTTTGACTGCAATTTGAGTTTTAACACGCGAAAAGTTTAACATCGCGCGTTACACGCAATCCCTTTAAGCATAATGTAATGTAGAGAAATTTAAATGATCCAATTTTGTTATAAACACGTACCTACAAAAGCGAGGCTGGCTGGCTGCATGTATTATTAAATTTAACAATCGCTCGTGCGTTCCACTTGTGCCAAAGGGAAAAGTCGAGGAGGGGCGAGAAGGGGGCAATTTTTCTAAAATTATACATATATACGTAAAAGCTTGGCTACATCCACCCCCCCC